CTGGCCTGATTTATTTCTTAATGTTACAAAGTGATGTCCATATTGAGTCTCCAGATGGTGATGGCAGGCAGGTGCTGACCTAGGGCTTTTCCTTTATGTTAGAGTTTTGGTCAGATAATGAATTCAGAGTCCATTTAGTGTTCTGCGATTTTCTTTTGCGGTGCTTTATGGAACCCAGGGCCTTGCAAATGATAGGCAAGTACTCTATCTCTGATCGACACCTCCAGCCCACTTCCTTAATTTCTAATAAAAGCTATGGAGTCAACCTTTCCTACACACATAGTGAGATAAGTCAAGGGACATTTGAGATGTCACCAATCCAATCTGTGACTAAAATCAGACAGGAAGCCCTGTGCCCCGTAGATAAAAGAAGGCTGGGAGGGAACAAAACTACCTCAGGTTTGTTTGAGTTGGTGTAAGTCCTCCAAGGGGAAACATGTATGATTCTGTCAGAGTAAGGCAGAATAGCATGCATGCCCCGATTCCCGGTTGGAGAAGAGAGTTTCTGTGAAAAATGATAGGAAAGTTGTGTTCACTGGGCCAAAATGCCTGACTTGGGAAGAAGGCCAGAGCTGGGAGTTGTGGGATGCTGCTTCAGGCAGGCAGGCAGGCAGGCAGGCCCAATATAAACAGTAGTGTTCCTGTCACTCTGGACATGTGCAGCCTGCCCCCAGTTGGTGACCAGAACTGATGTAAGAACCACCCTGCATAAGTCACTACACTGGCCAGGAATCTCCCTCCAGGGACAGGCTCAAGATGAGATCATGGCTGAGGTGAAGAGGGCTTTGGCCAAACACAGTCACCACCTGACGCCTTGGGGTCACCATGGAGTCAGAAGTGAGTGGCTTAACTGTGCCCACTTGGGTTCCATTATTGCTGTTGTAAATTTCTTTTTTTAAAGGAATGACCAAAAGTCTGAAGGGGAAAAAGCAAAGTCCTCCATGTGAGGATATGAGCTCTAGGGGAACTGTGAACAGAAAGCAGGACCTGAGGAAGAAGGGGCGACCATTATCCTAACACTGAGCCATCACTGCTCAGTGTCCTCATGCTTAAAAACAAAGATCAGGGCTGGGATACAGCTCAGTGGCAGAGGCCTGCCTAGTATACACAAGGCCAGGGTTCCGTCCCCAGCACCCCCCCCCCACACACACACAAGCCAACAACAAAAACTCAAATTAGAATAGATCAATTTTTCTAAATTTATTGACCACAGACACCTTTAAAAGTATGAGATGATGACAGGGTACCTACAGATATACATTAGATGTAATGTGCTTGGATAGAATAGATGTCAGTGAATGATCTCACACACTAACTAGTCTCTTATGCATAGGAGATTATGCACTTAAACATATAAATATTATATGTAATTTGGTGGAATCAGAAATAGCCATAGTTTGCATTTTCAAGTATTTTTTCTTAGAGCAGTTTTAGGTTTACAAAAAAAGTTAAATGGGAAGTAGAGTCCTGTATACTTCTTTCTTCCCACAGCTCCCCTCTTGTTACCTTGTGCTAGCAGTGGTGATGCTGTTTTTCAAAAGAAAAGATAGCCCTGATATTTGTTTTGGAGTTTTTTTGTTTGTTTGTTTGTTTTCTTTCTTTCTTTTTTTTTTTTTTTGTGGAGCTGAGGTTTGAATTCAAAGCTTGCAAAGCAGGTGCTGTACCACTTGAGCCACCCCTCCGGTCCATTTTGTTCTGGTTATTTTGGAGATGGAATTTTGAGAACTATTTGCCTGGGCTGACCTGGCACAGCAATCCTCCTGATGTCAATCTCCCAAGTAGCTAGGAATACAGGCGTGAGCCATTGGCACCCAGCTCTGATTTTTGTTCATGTTTGTGACACTAATGTTGCTTAGAAGACAGTGTGGGAATTTTTGAGGTGAGTGCTTGTTAAAGTAACTGTTGGTATCTCTAACAAAAGAGTAAGAAGATTTCCCTTGAAACAGGCCTTTCACTTTTTTGCTTGTTTGTTTGCTGGGCTGGGGATCAAACCCAGGACCTCAGGCATGCTAGGCAAGTGCTCTACCACTGAGCTTCACCCACAGCCCTAAACAATGTCTGTAAATGATTAAATCACCAAGAGCATTTCACATGTCTCAAAGCATCTTCTTTTCCATAGTATGCAATTTGAGTCAATAATAACGCTATGAGTTAATCTCTGTTGTCTAAAACACAAGGAATCAAAGACTGGGCACCAGGTCAAGGATCTTACCCATGGTCGTGCAGCTAATCACAGAGAGAAGGAGCAATTCCTGCAGTCCAGTACCAGGCTTTCTGCACTGGACGCACAGCTCTAGGTGCTTAATGACTGCATTGGGCTCTAGAAGATTGAAGCCAGGACTTCTGCCTGCCAGCTACATGAGAGAGCTTTAGGACAAAGGGAAACAAGACCTAGATTCAGGAAACCAATCTAAGAAATTCGATTTCCCCCACCATGGAATTGACTGAAAATGTGATGCATTCAAGAAAAGTTTTGAATAAATTCATGGATAATTCCATAATAAGTTATTAAAGAATATTCCCTTCCTTCTGATATGCTTGTAGGGACACCTATGTCCTTCTGGTGCCTATGTCAGAGAGACTGCTGGGCAGGGCACCACTGAACTTGCCTGGATCCAGTATGGAGTCATAAAACCTCTTTTTATCAAAGCAATGTAAAAGTATCGCTGAAGGAATTGAAAATAACTCACCAACAGTTACGGCACTCCAACTCTTTTCCTCCTTATCCATAGATCCACATCAGAGTTCAACTGCAAATTCTTCTGGGCGAGAAGAGTTGATTGATTTTGCTATGTCTATATGATTATGTTATCAAACACCATCGTGCTCTAGAATATTGCACTATACCGACATGTCATATTGTACAATTTTTCTATTTTTGAACATGTAAGTTATTTTCAACTTTCAGTCAAAACAATGCTTAAACATATCATATCATTATCTTCTGTGAGAATCTTTTTAATGTGTTTGCTTTGGTAGCACATATGCTAAAACTGGAATATTACAGGAGTTTTTTCAAATGTATTTTTTGGACTAAATAGCCAAAAGAATTATAGCTCTAAGGAAACAACCCGAATTTTAGCTTTTTGTTTTTAAATCATTTCAAATTTACCAGAGATTTGCAAGAATAGTGAGTCTAAGGATCTCTCCATGCAGCATGGTGTAGAATTCCTAACAAGAATAGCTGTTTCTAAGGCTTTTTTCATGCCGGCCATCCGACATGGTGTTTCTCCCAGTGTGTGTAATTCACACGATTGGCCCAGGTGACCCGTGTGTGAGTCTCTAGTCTAGACAACCTATACCACAATAATGCTGATTTCATATCCATCTGACATTTACCCCAGTCCCTGAAAAACTAGATGGACTTTATCTTTCTTTCTTTTTGGTGGTGGTGCTGGAGAGGAAACCCAGGGCCTCTCACATACTAGACAAGCACCCTACCTTTAAGCTACCTCCCAGCCCGGGGTTTCCAAAGTTAAACTCTGTTTATGCCTTCTGGTTCTAAACACGTTATCAGAAGCTTCTTGTCCACTCTCCTTTTCTCGAGCTTTCTGCAGATATCTCATCACTTCTTACTCAGATTGGGGCCTTTGTCTTTGTTCTGATGCCCCATCCCTGTCCACTGCTGTGATAAGGGGCCCTCATCCCTGTTCTCTGCCCTGGCAGGTGACACATGCAGGGGGAGGTGCCCTGCTGCAGAAAACTCCCCTGCCTGGGAAACGTCTGAAGCAATTCTTCCTCACAGTTTCTCTGTGCCACTCTGTCCCCATGTTATCTGGGCCTGGATTTTATTTCACTTTTTTGAAAAGAAAGGGCTTTGATGCGAATTTCCCAGGATATGATGTCACCAGGATTTATTTTAATTACCACTACTCCCCCACAGTATCCCTTGACTAAAATCAAAGTCCCCATTGTCACCATATCAGCCCCTCTCACCTTCCTCCCCAATTCTCAGACTTCCGTGGAGTCCCCCAGAGGGAAAACAATCCCTTATAATAGGAGCACAAAGCCTGGGTTTCTGGGGCTGCAGGGTGTTAGTGGGTCTGAGTCATTTGGGTAGTTTTCGGTAAAGCTCAAGGTACCTACAGTTACCCACAAATGCTCCTCTCAGCCAGATATCAACCAAGGACAGCAGATGCCACTTCCCAAGCCCCTCTGATGTGCTGTGTGCAGGTTGTCCAGATCTAATCCTCACATCCCTTGCACAAGACAGCCCAAACTCAGCAGGTTGCAAAGCTTGCCTGAGGCCATAGGCGTCATTCCTGGAGGATTCAAACCAAGACTTTGCATGTGTCTGTCAGTCACCTGAAAGATGCCAACCTTTCAAATGGGTTGTCAGTTTCCAGGAGCATTTCCTTTTGAGAGGGAATTCCAGAACACAGACAAGCTCCCATCAGCTTAGGTATGGATGGCTCAAAATGGAATCTCAGACATGGCTTAGGCAGTGTATGCTGTGCACTGACTCAAGGCCCTGCCCCACCTCGGGGAATGGTGGAGCTGAAAAGGTGTCAAAGGCCCACTCGTCCAGTCCTTCACTTGGCAGTCTGAGATGATTCCAGGGAAATCAAGTGGCAGGCCTAGGTTAGCACCAGGCCCTCTGTGTTTTACTGCCCCTCACGGCCACCCCAAGTGGCCCATCCCTTGTGGTGATGGCCTTAGAGCCTGTGGATCCTGAGAATCCCTTCCAAGCTTTGAGTCTAGTGTTCTAAAGGAAGATGGCTCTTATGGTCCTGTCCAACTCCCAAATTCCTGTGATTCGATGACATCAGGACTGTGAATAATCAAGCTGGCGCCAAGCCAGGACTGGCTGTGCTGCCCACGGTGAACTTCCTCCCCCTCCTAAAAACTCAGGCCCGCCCAGCTGCTGGCTCTGTCCTGGCCCTGTCCACTGGGATCCTCCTGCTTGAGAGACCCGCCCGCCCAGTGCCATCGGCCACACCCCCTGCCTGGAACCTTAAAGGAGGCCAGAGCTGTTCAAGGAGGTCAGAGCCGCAAGAGCCCAGAGCTCAGCGCTGGACAAGCTCCGTGAAGGAGACAAGGAGGCAAGAAGCTGTGGTAAGTTGAATTTCTGCGGCTCTCTGGCCACCAGCTCCTCTTTTGTCTTTTAAAGTCTTTCAGACAAACTGAACCATTGAAGGAATGCTTAGCTGAAGGGACCAACTTTGAAATGTAGGCAGGAAGAGAATAGCTCCCATCCACCCAGAGAGAAGAGCTCTTTTTGTATCTGCAATGACTTGGGATAGGATAAGCTGAAGTGATTTGCAGGGGTGTGTGGTGAGGAGAAGGGAGCAAATAGAAGGGGTGGCTTTCTTGCAGCAATCTCTGCTTGCACAGTAAAGGGGAAAATGAAAAGAATTACACAGAAAAGCTCTGAATAGACAAAAGGAGCACCACATGACTAACAGGCAGTAGACATAAAATCAGCTGCCCTCGGACACGTGGCCAGATAGTCAGGAGGGTCCTGCAGGGTGTGATCTGTCTGCCTCCCTCATCAATGAGCCCATGAGGAAACTGAGGCTTGGGGTACAGGGGCAGAGGGTGACTTACCTCCAGGCAGGAAGGGCTGGAAAAGAGAAGCAGGTCATTTCCACTTGGAGTCAGGGTAGAAAACAATGCCTCTGATCTCCTCCCTGTGTGTCCCCCACTCCCCCGTAATCTCCGCCAGTCTTGTCCCCCAGCTTTTCCTCAGTGTGCATCAGTCAAGTGTGTAGTCCTCTTTAAGGGTGTTTCCACTGCAGAGGAAAGTAGCATCAATGTCTTTTCTTCCTAATGCACTCTGCAGGAAGGCAGAGCAAGGCTCGCTAGAGTCTCACTGTTACTGTCTTTATTTTCTTAACCTCACAGGGACAGTAGGAGGGATGAAGGGCGGGAAGGAGAGAAAACTTGCTGAGCTCCCAAGTAATTAGTGACAAACTCAAGGGCAAAGAAGTGTGGCAGCAATGATTTACTTGTTGGCCACTTTGGAATAATAGTCTTGTCTGACAGACGACAGGAAAAATTGTGTGTGTGTGTGTGCGCATTTGCAATCCCATGAACAAATCCTGAAAATACAGTTGTGAATAGAATGCCCTGGAAGGTGACTTAGCACATTTTGCCTGTGGGCAGGAAGGTCCAGCCTGTATCCAGCTCCTGCTTGTCCAGAATTGGTGTCTGATGGGTGCCTCCTGCCACGGCCTGTGAGGCAGAATCAGGGATGCTGTGGATGTTGAAGCATGAATAGTTCCATCTGTCTGTCTGCACCTAAAAGGTTCTCAGAGATTCCAGCCTTGAATCTCATGGAGCAATATTCCTTATCCTACCCCTGGCCAACACAGACTCTGCCCAAACACCCCCAGATGCCCCAGTTTCTTTGGCCTGCCTCCTAGCAGGTCTCCCGGAGTCTGTGCCACTAAGATTGTTTCACCCAGGCAGTGTGGGCCATTGGTACAGTCAGACAGGAGCTGGGAACACAGTGATCCTGCTGTTCACCCATAGCTCACGGTGGGCCTCTGCCTTCTGTTTCCCTAGGGCCTAGTGTGCCCATGAGCACAGCCCAGGACCAGTACATTTCAAGCCCCTGTAACAAGCAGCCCAGGCCTATCTTTGGGGTATGACTTGAAGTGACTATAACTGCACAAGGTTTTTTTGGGTAGTGAGTGAGAGGATCATGGCACATTCTGGAAAGCTTACTGTCCACGTGAGGCCTACTCCAATCTGCCAACAGGAAGTATTTTTCAGCCATGGGGTTTTATAGCATTTGCAGGGGTCCTGGCTGGGTTCACCAATTCCGAAGGACTAATGGGAGTTTTAGGACTTCCAAAGCTTCTGAAGTACAGTTGATTCTCTTTCATCTGATGGTTGAGGTAGCAACATAGTTGCAGTGATAGTGGGCTTAGTTAGTTCTACTCAAACTTCACAGTCCACCTACTTCTCTGTCCAGTACTGAGGAAAATTTTGAGGTTTTAGTTAAATTGCTCGGCTGCCATTTGATGACTTAGCATTGGGCATCTGCCATCTTAGTAAGTTTTTGTTTCCTGTGAGTGAATTGTCAACTGTTTTGACAGTGAGCTTCTGGAGAATTCTGTTTGTTCATACAGGCTTTGTACGTACAGGGAAAGCATTCTGTACGGGGAAGCTAAATCCTGAAACCCAGAATCCATACTAGTTTCAGAATACTAACATCATCCTGGTCAAGTAGCTCACAAAGCCACGTAGTAGGTCTCAGGTCAAACCGGTCAGAATGAGGAGGACCTCGATTCATTGAAGATTAAAGGTAGAGAGTCTTCAAGGTCACCCACCTGATCCAAGCCTGAGTCAAGCAAGCCACACGGTCTTCTTTATACTGGCTTAGTTGCTTGCTTACACCCTGCCTGGGAAGCAGACTCATGTAAAAGCAGGTAGAGGACAGACTCGGTTCTCGATCACTAGAAGGGAAAAAGAAGCAGGTGCTGGGCACACTGTGGGCATTTCAGAGGCATTTTGGAAGGAGCAGCTCAGGAGAGCTCTGTGCTGATCATGATGTCCCAGGAAATGCTAGCCACCCGTTCTCCTGGCAGGACTCACACAGCTGGGTGTGCTCAGCAGCTGGCTGCCCATTACACATGCTGCTGGCCAGAGTGGCTCCTGGCTAACAGACCAGCTGAGGTGTGCCAGCCTCAAGATGTCCCTGATGCACACACCAGAAGCTTCGAGACGTTTCCATGGGGATTGACTGAGTCCTGAACCTTCTTGGAGCCTCTAAAATCATCACTGCAGGGCTGAGCTGACCCCAGATACTGTAGACCTCTCACTGAGTGCCTTTCTGTTTATTATACAGCTACAAATAATTCCATTGACTTACAACTAGGTTAGGGAATCCAGACCAAACTCCCCCAAGGCTCCATATATCCCTAGAACTCTGAGATTCAAATCACACCTCCTCCTATGGACCCCTGAAAGAAGAGCCTGGGGTGTGTGGATCCTACCCCTTTGCCACTCAGACAGAGGTGTTTGCCCTAAAGCCTAAAGGGCTCTGGCTGCTGGCTGCCAAGATCCTGAAACCCAAGCAATGGGCTCATCTTGGCCTTCATTATCTGCTGGACTACTCTTGTTCAGTAAACAGCTTATATGAATTCCAGAATGCCCCTTTGGCCATCCCGACCTCCGTAAGACTGAGGTGACACCATTCACCCTGTTCCTGTTCATCCCCATCCCGTACAACACAGCTCCCATCACTCTGGACTGAGAGCGGCCCATTACTGGTCCATCCCAACCTAAACTACTCAATCTTTGAGCCTAGAGCGTGGGTGTGGTTTCCCACCACGTGGGCCTCCTTCGTGTCAACAGACATTGGATGGTGAAGTGTGGCAGAGGCAAATCAGCCTGTGAATGCCAGGAAAGAGGAACTTTGGCTGAGCCAGGGCTTGAGATCCAATGGATGGTGAGCACTGGGAAGACACAGCCTAGGAGGTTCTCAAGTCCTTTTTTGTGAGGTCTTTAATGAGCAGTCTGGTATCAGCAGGGTTTCTGGAAGGCCCAGGGCAGAGGTGGGGAAGCAAATGCGGTAACCCAGCCCCTACAGGGTAAAAGAGAAGACTGGGTAGCTCCATCTCCTCTGGCTGTCCACACTGTGTTCTAGAAAGCAAGCTCGTTTTGTTCTGCCTGGTGTGGCATGAGCCAGTGTCTACCGCCTGGGCTACAGAAAGAGAGAGGACAGGATTTTCATGGCTGATGTTGTTCTGAGAACTCCAGTCCTTTCTCACAGAGAGCCCTGACTTTCCAACAGCTGTGTGCTGTGTATCAGACACCCTCCTCTGCTGTGACACCTGATCACCCAGATGTGTCAGCTGCTAATTCTGACTTCCTTAGAGTTCACAGAGGCCCTGGCATATGTGGTGTAAATAGGCCTGGGAAAGGCAAATAAAAAAAAAAAAGATTTAAAATAGGAGCTAAGCCACCACCCTGTACTCAGAAAATAATGGCTCGTGTTCCTACTGTTCCATGAACTTAGATGAAGGGCATGAAACTTTGTGTTGATTGTAGAAAATCCAGTCATGGGTTGTCATGACATATCCAAATTAGCTAGGACACAAGATTAGGCACTAACACTTGGACACAGCGAGGACCCCGTGGAGTTTGGTCTCATCAGCCTCGCTTGCTTCTCCTTGCTGAAGGGCGCTCACGGCAGTGAGTGCAGCTGTCACCCCTCTGCACCAGGCACTGAGCAGGCCTTTTCCTGCTGCTTCTCCAACTAGCAGACACTCCAACAAGATGGGAATGATTAGCCTACTAAAATCCCAGGAAACTGAGGCTCAGAGAGGCCAATTGCCACCCAGAACTGGAAGTGACAACTGGGGTTCAGTTGGGGACAGTAAGACATGGACAGAGCGTTAGGTTTTAGCCAGGAGAACCCAGTATTCTGAGTTGGAGTCCAATACCATCACTCCTCATTGGTCTTTCTGCTCTTGGGGGGTTCGTTTCTCACACCTGTAAAATTGAGTTAATATTGCCTTAAGTGACGTACACTCAGTGTGTGTGCAGATACCTTTTGAGTGAGGCACGTTGCTCATTCACAGTAATGCTGCTGTCACGTAGGCCAGTACAATTCAGATCAACGTGCCATGATCCCGCAAAAGCTTCCGATGACTGTCTTCTAATTCCAGTGCTCGGAAGGCTGGACACAGGCTGAGGAATTATCGAGTCGCTGCATCTGGAATTGCCCAGCGTGATGTTTGCTTTAGGGAGTGGAAGGAACACGAGGGGCTACTATGGTGGCTCAGCATTGTGTCCTTTCAGATTGACACCAGCTGGATTTCAGGGTTTGCTTAGATCCCGGCTCCAGGTTAACGTTCAATTTTGCACTGCTGAGTTCACTTTGACCATTGAACCTTGGTTTTTCTTCTGAAGGGTCCACATATGTTAAGACAGGACTTCTGTGTTTAGCACAGGAAGAGGCAGGAGAAACTTTTATTTTTTATTTCCAAGATACCCCAACCAACACTTCGTTAGTTCTTCCAACACCACAACAAACATGCTCAGCGGGTTTTCCTGAGGTGGATTTTATGTAGCTCAAACATAGTTCAGGCCTATATTTTGAAGAGGCTTTGGAGAGAATTCTGCCCTGGTGGGCAGGTGTAGGGGGTGTCAGGAGAGGATTCTATACTATTCACCTCACCACAGTTGATCAAATTAGATTAAGAAAGACTCTTCCTCTTTTCCCCTGCTTATAAATGACTACTATTCAGAAGAGAGAGCCAGGCCTGGTACACTCCTATAATCACAGCCCTAGGGACTGAGGCGGGGGATTGTGAGTTTCAGGTCAGTCTGGGCTACATAGCAAGATCCTGTCTCAAAACAAAAACAAAAAAGAAGAGAGAAAACAGCCTATGGAAAGTTAATGCTTAGAAAAGTTAAGAATTGTGCTTATATGGTGGTAGTTTTTGAAAGTGGTTTGTGTTCTGAGGCCATGGTCTCCATAGAGCAGAACCTCTAGTCTAGGGGCTAGAACTCCAGGTCACAGGCTCCCGTCCTGGGTCTGACTCTGCTCCGACAAAAGGTGAGCTTCGGGGGACCTCACAGCCCTTTCTGTGGCCTAGTTTCTTCTCCCAGTGTCTCACCTCACCCCTCATTCTGTAGTAGAAACACGACTTCCCTGGCATAAGGCATCTGGCCATTTCTTCTCTAACTCGTTGGCATCTGTTCTGGGCTGTGGTGGCTGCGAGGGGAGGGGGTGCTGTTTCAAAGTTCAAGTCATTTTAGGGTGTTGGTAATCCTGGAGGCAAACTCTTTCCTACTCAGATTTCCAGGGAAAAGTTTTACAGAGCAGTAAGAACCTACGACTCTCCGGTAGCAATCCTTGCACATGGTGCAATTTTCAATTCCCTTTTGTTTTCCCATTGCAATTTCCAGCGTCCTAGCTTGTTCATGTTCCTGCATTCTTGATGGCAAGAGTACAAGCTACAGGTCTTCCAGTTCACCAAATCGAAGGGATGGCATGGTCTGCACCTCAGATCTTAGAATTTGACTGATTGGCTGCTTTGTCCAGTTCCTTTATTGCAAATCACTTTTCTGTATCACAAGGGAAAGAGCAACAACAGGTGGCAAGTGTTTGAATTAACACGCTTTACCTATTGACGAGTCTCAGATGTTAGTTCTGGGAAGTCTGGGACAGCCCATCCGGCTTGGTTTTGCACCACTGGAAGCAGGCTTTACGACTCACATTATAGCTGCTTCTGCGAGGGATGGCACCTTAGTTTTCATTCAGTCATTTTTATCTCTTGAAAATGAGTTTAGCAGTCCCTTTCCTAAGGGCAGATTGCTGTGCAGGGAACATAGAGAAGGTAGGAGGAAGACAGGGAAAAGGGTAATGCAAAGATCCTGGGGACAGCAGATCATCTACCCTTCTCCAGGTCCCTCTGCCAGTTCACCTACTGCCATTCCACTAGCTCTGCTCAATCCAGAATGAAACAACTACATGCCCAGTGCCACAGGCATCAGCCCCACATTATCCATGCAGAAATGAGCACCAGACATCTGGCTGGTGCAGTTGTCACTTTCCTGTATGGCATGAATCCGTTGGGAGAGGTACTGTTTACTGTTAGGGTACCTCTCCAGGAGATCTTGCCTGGAGTTGGGTCCCTGTTCCTGCTTACCCGGCCATCGTTCCCGTTTCCCTGGAACCGTAATCATTTGCAGGTTAATCTAGGCTGTTTTATTTGCCAAGCCTATTTGCCCTGTGTTTTCTAACTTATGCAGATGCTTTGTCAACTTGCCAAGCCCCAAGTCTGCTGCAATCCACCTCCCAAAGACAGTGCTTCTTCCGACTCTGTAAAAGATCAACTTTGCATGCTAGGGTGGGCCTGCCACACCAGGGGCTTTTGGGCCTTGGAAACCACAGCCCTTACTGTCATTCTACCACCCGCCTCATGCAGTATCCAGGGATTCCAGCCCAACAAAAGGCAGGTTCCATCCTTTCTTCTTCTTCCTTGCTTGCTAGATATTGTAGTTCTTTAATGACCTTGGGAAATTACTAAATAAGCAAAAGGAAGAGAACACAGAAAAAAATTCCAGGTCTCTGTACAAGCCTGCAAAGGGCTTCTTAGACTTAGTCCTCATGTCCCATCACCCACCCTGGTCTCCCTGGAGTACTTTGCATCTCTTTTTGGTGGTTGCCTGTAGTCTGCAGAGTCAAGATCAGCCAGGCTCAGTCCACAGACCCTGAGTCTGAGTCCACATTTCTGGTATTCACTTCGTTCTTCACCCTGGCACTACCCCCAGACCACTACGCCCACTTCTCTAACAAAGACAAACAAGGACGGGTGAACTGTTCTCTCTTGTCTTGGGATGTGCTGTTTTTCACTGGCTAGTGGGTGACTAATTTCTCTGTCATCTTCTTCCTCTATGTGGCCCATCCAGTGCTCTGCTTGCCTCTGTGAAGTGTAGAGGGAGCTGTGTGCCATTCATCTGTGCTGAACTCAAGGCCCATCAAGGCTAAAGGCAGCAAGAAAAGAGGAAAGGAGTCTCATGGACTCCCATGTGCTTCTGTCCCCTTCATGCTGGGTTGGGAAAGGGCTTAGCACTGCAGTCCAGCCTTGTCTGTCTGCCCCTCTGCATCCCGCCCACCCCCATTAGTCCAGTAAAAGCTGGTCCTTGGGAAAGGTCGATACCTCATTTCTTGCTTTGCAATTGTTCAATTTCTAGAATTGCACCCCGGGTAGGAGGACCTTTAGTTCTCAAAATAAAACAGTTCCTTGGCAGAGTGTGAGCCTGTGACCCTGTGACCCCAGGCACAGGGATCACAGGCAGGAGGATGCCTAGAGGAAAGGTGCAGTGAACAAGGAGGCTGAAAGGACTCCATGGTTTGATGTACAAGGTGAAGTAGAAGGATTTCTTCTTCCCTGAGTGGTTTATTTCCTCACTCAGGGAATTCTGAATTCCATCTGACAAAGCATGTGCAATCTGTGCATCTTCTGGGCTGCCTAAGACAATAAAAGTGGGACAATCCATAAACAGAGGATCATCAGGAAGGAAGAGCAGAGTAAGTTTAAGAAGGTCTGTCTGCAAAAGGTTATAGGTAGTGGGATACAATTAAGAAGGGGAATCTAAGTGGAATTTTGGGAAATTTTAAGAGGAGGGAAATTTGAAGAAAAACAGCAGAAGAGAAAAATCCAGAAAAAGTTCCTGTGATTGGGAGGTTCCACCATGCACTCCTGTTTTGGTGGTCTCAGCTGCTATTTCTTTTCTTCTGGAACTGCTTGAAACCAGTAAGCTGGCGACCCAGCTGCCCCCTAGTAAGGAAAGGGCCACACAGTGCTCAGCCCACCCTGCCTGGAGTCTGTTAGAGGAGACAAGGAGGGTGAGTCCTTGGAGTATCTGCAGCTTCTGCATCTTCTCGGGGAACTGCTGCTGCTCAGCTCTGGCTGCCCTTGTCTTCCGCCCCTCCAAAAGCTCTGAGCTCCCTCCTGTCCCACCTCACCCTGCCGCCCAACTTCCCTGGGGAAGAGGAGGCTGATGGCACCTGCAAAGGGAGAGCTTCCCAAAGAAAGCGGGAGCCAGAGTCCATACAGGCCGCCTCTGACCCACAGGCCTCCAGGTCCTCAGGATGGGGGAGGGGTGGGAACCAGAGTTGTTGTGACTGAGGGGAATGAGTCAGGGAAGGGAAGTCCTGCTTGAATTCTGCAGATGGAGGGGTGAGGGCCTGCCAGACCACAAAATAACTGACGACCAACTAACCCACTTTCTTGCCCAGGGCAAGATCAGTGGGAGGGGCAAGTGGGAACTGGGAATGGGGTCCAGGAAGATCTGAGTCTAATGAGAAAAGCCAGATGCTGCCTCTGTTTCAGCAGCTCTGCACTTTACTGGGGTGTCTAATAGTCTGTAAAAGAGGAGACAGATGGGGTGGGGGAAGCCTTCCCTTCCATGGATGAGGAAACCACGGGGCATGGAAGCAGCTCTGTCCCGTATAAGAGGGAAAGCTAAAGACCGAGGGAGGAGGACTGGTGCCATGATGTACCAGCAATGAAATTGCTACGGCTTCCTCTGAAACAGCCAGAGAGGACGTTACTGTGTCTCCATCTAGACCATCTCAGGGCAGAAGCCAAGGCAGGACACTGGTCCCTGGGCTGCCAACAAGTGCCAGAAATGGCCTTGCCCTTAGACTTGCAGAAGTTTCTGGAAAAAATTATATCTTCCAGCAATCTGAGCATCCATCAACAGATGAACAGATAAGGAAAATACTGTCTACCCAGACAGTGGAATATTAGGCAGCCTCAAAAAGGAAGGGAATCTGACACAGGTAGCAACCCGGATGAAATAAAGCAGTCAAATACTGTATGATTCCATATCTGCCACCTACGCAAAGCAGTCAGATTCTAGGCGGGGGCAGGGAGCTATTCTTTACCAGCTACAGATTTTCATTTCCAAGTGATAAAAATATTAGAAGGGACACCCTGCTGGTTGCACAAGGGTAGGTTATCTATTTCATGCCCCTGAACCAAGCACTTACAAATGACTAAAGTGGTACATTTTATACTATCTATATTTTACCACAATAAAAACACATGTCCACAATTTTTTTAAAAAATCATTTTCCAGGCAGTTGCCACGGGAGCCAATGTCAGAAAGAGTTGCCAGGTGAAGTCGCAGGTTCTTGAACTTTACTGCTCTTTGCCCTCCTGCATCATGTGCTTAACCTCTTCTCTTCTTCCAGAACTGAGAGACACTGAAGAGACCATGCATAAGATGGAGAGACAGCTCCTGGGTGTACTGCTGCTTTGTGGGGCAGTCCTCGCCTTGCCCAGCCAGGTGGGTGTTGTCCAGCTCCATGTTCTCTGCCCCTCCAGGTGGCCACATCTTTCCAAGGGCAGGAAAAGTGTTCAAGAGGGGAGATGCAAAGGGACATAGGGCCAGCATGGCCACAGGATGCAAAAGCACACACTCCCATCTGGATGGGACACTCTGGGTTCCATCCAGCAGTGGAACCCAGGCGACAGTTCTTATTTCCATCTCCTGCCCTGACTGCCTTCTCTGCAGTTGTTTTAAAAATGGTGGTGCGTGCCTGTAATCCCAGCACTTGGGAGGCTGACGCAGGAGGATTTCAAGTTTGAGGCCAGCCTGGGCTACATAGTGACACCTTGTCTCCAAAAACTAAGGGCTGGGAATGTAGCTTAGTGGCAGAGCACTTGCCTAGCATTCAAGATCCTAGGTTTGATCCTTAGGAGCAAAAGAATTAATCCATAAAGTATTTATAAGACAATTCAAGCACCGTGAGCCATAGAAGAAGGTAAGCTGGTGGGAATGAAAGCTACACTCACACTCTTCAGAAGTGCAAAGGGCACCATATAAGGCCAGAGAGTAAAATACCTCTGCAGCTGGATTTTAGAGAGGTGAGAGTGGGGTGGCTCCATGGAGGAACAGAGAGCTACAGCTCCACGCTCTAGCATGGTAGCCACTAACCACATGCAGCTAGTAGATTTGAATAAAATTGGAAATGCATTTCCTCAGTCACATTAACCACATTTCAAGCGGGATTAGTGGCAACACAGCATAGATGGGAAACACATCCATCCTGCAGAGAGTTTTCACATGGTGATACCTGTACCAAGGAGAGAAGAATTAGAATGAGGAGATGAGCGCTCCCCTCCGACCAGTTCCAGGGGTGGGGTAGGGTGATTCCTGGGCAGGTTGCACATGATTGGTAGATATTCCAGCATGTGCTGATCCTTCCTGGTCTCTTTGCAGGAAATCCATACCCGAGCCAGAAGAGGAGCCAGATCCTTCAGAGGTAAGAGGACGGGCTGGTTGGAGGCAAGAGGCAGGTTTGGACTGAGTGGATTTAGACAGCCAGGAGCTTCACAGATTCACTTTCAGCCAAGACCTACTTTCTAAGTAAAGGGAACCTTTTCCAGGGGAATTCTGCAAACAGGTCTACTATTCACCAGTTGCCCAGTTAGCTGAAGCTCCCAGACATTCTAAGAGGAACAGTCAGGAAGTTGGGGGATCACAAGCTGATGGGAGCCCACCAGTCCATGGTACAAAGTCCTGTGGTACAGATGAGAAAACAGAGTCCCAGAGAGACTTCGAAACTTGCCAAAGGCCACCCATGCTAGCAACAAAGCCAGCATAGCCACAGCTGTCCATGTCCTCCGGGTTCTTCCGTGGGCTGTTACTGCATCAAAGTCTACTCCACATTCCTTAACTATCTGTTTCCGCCTGTTGGTAAAATCAAAACAACTAACACAGGCTGTCTCACAGACACGGTGTGGAAAGACTGTCTCTCCATAAGCGCCATAAGTCCATGTGTGGAGTTGACTCTGCAAAGCAGAGAAACATTTCCATCAGGATTCCAAGAAGAAAACATATGAACTGCTGATTTTTCTTGACTTGGATTTGAAAAACTTTAGGTCCAGCTTCAAGTTCTAAACTACCAAGCTGGGATCTTCATCTTTCCTCTTTTATAACCTGGTTCCTTTGGGTCTGGGAGACCTTTTTTTTTTTTGCAGGGAGTGGGGTGCAGGTGGGGGGCACAGAAGTGGAGAGGCGTGCTGGAGACTGAACTCAGGACCTCATGTATACACTACCACTGAGGGACCCCAGTCCTCTGGAAGACTTTCCAACACCTTTTTTAAAGTGGAAGTTTTCTTAGACTGAGCTGAGTAGCAAGTCCCTCCTCACAGACTTTCAAAAGAAGCAACAGCACTTTTTATTTCTTCAGTACTGGGGATGGAACCCAGGGCTTTATGCATGCAGGGAAAGTGCTTCTTTAGTTAATCAAAGTTGTGTTTCTAAGTTGGCATTTCAAAGATGGGAGCACTTCACCTGTTTTCATTGTATCAAAACTATTAATGGAAGTAGCACATTTTCTCCACAGACTAAAATGCCAATTTTCTTTGTTTGGGACCAAAAATTCTGTGCTGTGATACTTATGTACATCAAAAACTCTGGCAGGCAGTTAACATAATGTTTGTTTTTGTAATTAAGATGAAAAAAATAGAGTATTACTCAAAGCAAATGTATTTTGGTAGATAAATTCTTTCAAAACAAGGCTCACTGGAGGAAAAACAAAAGGAGTCTGATAAAAATCAGGATTTCTAAGGAACACACGTACATTAGTCACTGCTCGGTGTCTGCAGACAATGGAGTTTAGGACCTTGTTGAGGATGCCAAAGTCCAAAGTTCACAGATACTCAAGTCCTTTATATAAAATGACATAGCCTCTACATAGCACCCGTGCACATCTTCCCAGATACCTGAAGTCATGTCTGATTACCTGTAATACCTAACATAAATGTAAATAGTCATTCTATATTATATTGTTTTGGAAATAATGACAGGAAAAAAGTGTGTACATGTCAATACAGATGTAACCATTGTATCTGTAGCTATGTTTTTAACCTGAGTTTGCTTGAATCGTGGACACACACAGTACAGAAGGCCACCTGTGTACTGCAGCAGGCCCGGGGTGGTGGATCTTCATTATTTTTTTAATCATATTCTGAAGAGGCCAGCTTGTCTGTGTTACAGTAACCTGCAGAGATGAGAAGACACAGATGACCTACCAGCAGCATGAATCATGGCTGCGCCCCATGCTCAGAGGCAACCGGGTGGAATACTGCTGGTGCAACAGCGGCAGGTCCCAGTGCCACTCAGTGCCTGTCAGAGGTTCGTATCCTGGCCAGTGCTGGAGGCAGGGGCAGGAGGACCATGAGTTTAAGGCCAGCATGAGCTACGAAGTGACGTCATGAATCTCTGTCTCGAATATCTTCTCCCTCACCCTCCAAGAAAAAGAACATATGGACTTTGTGCCAAGGCTTTGCGCTCAGGGCCCCGGCTCACAGCCCAAACCCTGCTTCCACAGTACCCAGTGGGTTTGCACCTTTAGCAAAAGTGAAGGTGCACGATGATGGAGGGGACCGTGTGGCCCCAGCCCGGTACCTTCACTCACCCAGCCTTCTCATCCTCATATGGAAAATGGGGGTTCAGTAATATGTTCTTCACAGTCCGCTGTGAGTTTCAAATTAATGTTAGGAGCTGGCATGGAAAGAGCACACAGCATTTTAAGTCATGTTCTTGGAGCTGCTTTGGAAGTAGTTGAATTTCTTCCTTTGCACTTGACAGGTTGCAGCGAGCCAAGGTGTCTGAATGGGGGAACTTGTCGGCAGGCTCTCTACTTCTCAGACTTTGTCTGCCAGTGCCCTGATGGGTTCATGGGAAAACGCTGTGAAGTAGGTGAGTGCATAGGGGAAGGAGTGAGAGAGGCCTTGAAACCCTAGCTCCCAAATGCACCCAGAAAGGAAGGGCGGTGTGTTTCAGAGGGCAGGTTGGGCCTGGGGACAGGGAAGGAGTAGCCAAGAGTGGTTCAGGGAACCACAGCATTGGGCCCAGTGGACAGAGTGTCAATCGGAATCTGGCTTGGCCTCTGCAGGGGACCCTGGCTGCCCAGCTCACTCTGGCTCTGGCAGCTTTGGCAGCCAGCCTGCCCCATGGGGCTGAGGTAATGAAACAGAAACCCTTGAGAGCCCTTTGGACACAGAGGGGCTCCCATGTGAGGGGTCACGTGTCTTGCTGTCACTCAGATACCAGTGCCACGTGCTACAAGGATCAAGGCATCACCTACAGGGGCACATGGAGCACAGCAGAGAGTGGGGCTGAGTGTGTCAACTGGAACAGCAGTGTGCTGGCCCTGAAACCCTACAGTGCACGGAGGCCAGGCTCCTTCAAGCTGGGCCTTGGGAATCACAACTACTGCAGGTGAGGGGGGAGAGGGAGGACACACCTGTGTCAGACCAGTCAGGGTTATGCAGGGAAACAAAACTGGCACCATACAGGCAGATAGATAGATAGACTGACAGCTGTGCAGGCAGGCAGAAATAAAGTGGCTGATTTTGAAGGAATCGGTTCACACCATCATGGTGCTGATAAGGCTGAAATCCTAAAGCAGATCAGCAGACTGGACACTCAGGCAGGACCTGATGTGACCTTCTTGAGGCTTAATTTCTCCCCAGTTTTTGCTCTTAAGGATTTCAACTGATTGGATGAGGTCCACTCTCATTATTTGGGATAATCTTCTTGAAGTCAACTGATTACAGGTGTTAACCATAATCGTTAAACACCTTCATAGCAATACCTGGATCGATGTTTGGTCGCATGCCCTGCTACTGTATAGCCCAGTCAGGTTGACACTAAGACTAACATTGTCCCACCCCTTGTCAACTCGGCACCCATATGTATATACATTTCCTTAAACCATACTTATCTCCAAATACAGACAATAAGTAAGTCATATTTCTGCCTAACATGACGTAAGTGTGCAGCATTCCCACAGTGCACTGATCCTCCCCCAGAAGAGTATGCCTACTCTTGGGTCTGAGATTCGAGACATCTCTTTAACCCTCCCTGGCTGATTTTTCAGAAATCCAGACCGAGACTCGAAGCCCTGGTGCTATGTCTTTAAGGCAGGGATGTACACCTCAGAGTTCTGCAGCACACCAGCCTGCTCCAAGGGTAAGTGACAGTCACCCTACCTTCCCCATAGTATTGCAGGAGGAAAAGCATGCAAGAAAACAAGTCTGATAGAAAGAGCTGGCTGGGAGCCTGTCCTCATGGCTGCAGAGCTGAAAACTGGGAGACAATGGTCTTCCCAGGCTTGGCCTGTAGTTTTTTGACCTTGAGCTGATCTCTTCACATCTCTAGCCATTAGTCTCCTCACCTACAAGTGTTGAGTATCTCCCCTTTCAAATTAGTAGATTCTCTCTCAGTTTTCTCCTCTCTCTTTCAAAACATTTAATGTGAAATAATTTTCCAGGTTGAAAAAAATACAAGTTATAAAAAGCACTACGAATTCAGTGGTGCTTTCACAAATAATTATGTATTGCAATAGTATGAAAGATTTTTTTAAGTTCTAAATCTACATACGCAAGAGTGATGTGCACTGAGTGTGCAGTGTACAGGTAATGCTGCTGTCCTGTGAGTACAAAGACGTCACAATAATTCTAAACATTAGGAGTCACAGATCTCGTCTCACAAATCCCTCCTGACGATGGTGTTTCTGCGGAAGTAGACGTCCTCAGCTTCATAGAGGGACAGAGGGGGGATGGGGAAAACACAGGACAGTAGATGGCACTCTGAAACATGCATTCTTCCAAGCCAGAGTACTGGCAGATCAGTGAGAGAGCAGCCTGCCAGTACAGCTCACTGTGGCCCCCCAGGCTCTATACAGAACGCCCTAATTTTACTTTCAGAGCAGCTCCAAGAACCATCACCACTAGGGAAACACGGTATCCTTTCCTGCTGAATCTGAGTACACTGGGGTGTCTGTCCACACAGCAGTCTAGGAAGCCACCACTGCGGGTACAAGCTGGCCCATGAAATGAAGTGTGTTAGTCAGCCTTGTGGCACTGTGGCACACACCTGCAATAACTAGCTGATAAACAGGAAAGGTTTACTTTGGTTCACAGTCAGAGGTTGGTCTGTGACTGGTTGGCCCCTTTGCTTTGGGCCTGTGGTGGCATGTCATGGCAGGAGTGTGTGTGTGTGGCATAACAAAACTGTTCACCTCAAGGCTGGGAAGTGAAAGAGAGAGAAAGGAAGAGACCCGGTGGCCTCCCTGCACTCTCAGCAATGTGACCCCCATCACCTAAGACTTTCCACTTGGCCCCCACCCCTTAAAAGTTTCTACCACCTCCGGTAGTGCCCAACTGGGGACCCTGACACGTGGGCCCCCGACACATGGGGCTTTGGGGAAATTCCTGATCCAAAGTCCAGCAAAATCCACTTGCCATCTATATGTATGAAGAAAAGAGAAAAGGGGACGTTGGAGACACCACATTCCTCTTCATGCTGACTGGTACCTTCAGTTTTCCTGGCCAGCACTTCTCCTTCAAATCCCAACTTGCCTGCTCCACTGTATAATTGGTTTGGCTTCATTTAAGATTCCCTTTGTTCCAGGAACAAATGAGGACTGCTACACTGGAAAAGGAATGACCTACCGTGGCACCCACAGCCTCACCACATCTGGTGCCTCCTGCCTCCCATGGAATTCCATGATCCTGATGGACAGGAGTTACACTGCATGGAGGAGTGACTCGCGGGCACTGGGCCTGGGCAAACATAATTACTGCCGGTACATAGCCCAGGGAGTCAGGTCTTGGCAGGGAGAGGAGCTGGGTGTGGGATGTGTGGGAGAAGACCAAAGGCTGAATGTCATGAATGATCCAGTGGGTGGGACTTTATCTACTCCAATCTCTTCACTTGCTAAGTACACCTGTTTTGCAACCAAAATCCCAAATTCAACAAAGGTGTCCTGTGACTACTTAACTCTCATCTGTTCTGTTCTTACCTGGCACTTCTTCACAGAAAAGCTCCCAGTTCCTACCAACGTCCCTGAGAGCTCAGAACACTGTTACTGACAGAAAAACTAAGATGAAGAGAAGTCTAGCCCCATTTTGGGAAGCCAAATTCGGGACGCTCCCTCCCTCGCTCCCCGCCCAGTGGTTTTGCTGTTGGTGTACTCTGCGTCTTCCACTCCTCTGTGGCCTGTGACGTGACTGCTTGTGTGACTGAAAACCTCCAACTCCCTTCTCTCTAGGAATCCGGACGGGGATGCCAAGCCCTGGTGCCACGTGCTGAAGGACCGCAAGCTGACGTGGGAATACTGTGACATGTCTCCATGCTGTAAGGGCTGGCCCTGGCCACCTCCCTTCGCCTGGTCTCACACCTCCATTCTTTCCTCTGCACCTTCTGCGTCTTCACCACTATCTTCTTCAGCCTGGAACTGCCAGGCTTCCAAAAAGGCCAGGCCTTGGTGGGGAGGGGGCTTCTGGGACTGAAGCAATGGTGGGGCAGTGACACTTAGGCTTTTGCATGGGGCTGATGGATGGGGGTCAGTTTCTCAGTAGACTCCGCTGTCCTCTCTGGATACCTCTTGGTAGTGGTGAATATGAGGAGACAGGGAGGTCTGTCACCTTTACTGTGGTGACAGGGAGACTCTGCATCTCTTTACTGATTAGGAAATGTTCTCAGAAGTCACATTCTTGCGCATGCTCTGTGGGCTCTGAGGAGGAAAGCTGAGCCTTGACTCTAAGGCTGGGACTTCTGTGAATTCATCCACATTCCCCCCTAGAACCCATTTAACACCGGGGAACTGGATTAAAGTTATGGGGTGGAAAGCTGAGGACAAATTCAAGTTTGTACCTATTCTCAGAGAGTAAAAGTTTAGCTTGGAAGTTGCCTGAGAATAGATTATTAGTCAGTTTCTGTGAACACACCGAGAAGCCAGGATCCAGAGTCTGACTGGGAAGCAAAACAGCCACTTAACTCCCAGCCTCGGTCCTTCACGGCAGGTCCTAAGTGAACCACTGTAGGACGCCCCTCCAGAGCCTGGTAGGCTGGGCTTTAATGGAAGCCTTGTGTGGAGGTGGGATTTCACTTGGCCTTGAAGGATGGGTAAGACTTGAAGGACGTGTAGGTGAAAAACAGGTAGACATTGCTCAGAAGCAAGTTTTCAATACTTCATTATTTCTTAAGTCAGGAACCAGCTGTAGTTAAACTGAGAGGGAATGAAGCATAGCAGAAAGATCCTTAGTTTGAGAGACCACAGACCTGGGTTCTAATCCAGGGCATTGCAGCCTTGAGCAAAAACATTTCCCCGTTCCTGTGAGTCAGTGTTGAGAGGGATAAAGATAACGTACACACAATACTTGGCATGTCAGGCAATGTACTCAACAAATGGAAGTTAGGATTTTTATACCTTTGCAGACTATTATATCATTCTCTGCCAACCTATTGAACTGTAGCCTGTAAAAGCTTGAAATGCCAAGAGAGAAAACCCACATGCATGCTCCGGGCTTGGTCTCTGACTCTTGTCCTTTCCCTCTGCAGTGACCTGTGGTCTAAGACAGTACAAGCAGCCTCAGTTCCGCATTACAGGAGGACTCTTCACTGACATCTCCTCGCATCCCTGGCAGGCTGCCATCTTTGCTAAGAACAGGAGGTCGGAGGGAGAAAGGTTCCTGTGTGGGGGCGTGCTGATCAGCTCCTGCTGGGTCCTGTCTGCTGCTCACTGCTTCGAGGAGGGGTAGGGCATAGACTCCTGATGGGTTTCAACTCTCTACAGCCTTGAACCCAGTCCATTGGAGTAACTCACAGCAAGAGCATTCTAAAGCTATTTCTCTCTTAGGTTTGCTTTCCACCACCTTAAGGTGGTCTTGGGCAGAACATACCAAGAGGTTCCTGGAGAGGAGGAACAGAAATTTGAAGTAGAAAAATACATCATCCATAAGGAATTTGATTATGACACTTATGACAATGACATTGGTAAGCACCGGTTCACACTTGAGTAAGCACATGTGCTGACTGTTTGCATATGTGCCCCTTCTTCCAACCATGGCTCCTCCCCCTGCCTTCCCCCTAAAATGGAGGCCACTCTTTCTCACAGCTCCTCTTCCTGTCTCCCTTCCAGCACTGCTGCAGCTGAAGTCAGATTCCACACATTGCGCCCAGGAGAGCAGCTCTGTCGGCACCGTCTGCCTCCCTGACCCTGACCTGCAGCTGCCCGACTGGACAGAATGTGAGCTGTCCGGCTATGGCAAGCATGAGGAGTGTAAGTGGAAGGAAGTCTGGTCCCATCCTGTCTATTGCAGGATAGCAGGGTATGTGGCCATGGAGCAGCTGGCAGGAAAAGTGGTCACAAGAGCTGGCTGAGTTCTAACTCCGGTTCCAGCACTGTGCTGAGTAAATGTGGGTAAGGCCCCACCTCCCGGGGCAGCAGAACCCAGCATCCACTTCCCAGACTCACAAGGCCACCAGGCAGGTCAAGGAAAGTCTGAGTGTTCTGAAGAGCTTGAGGCCAGTAGAGTACAGAGGTGAAGGGCATACATTCTTGCACACTGGGGTTGTTCGGGCTGAATTCAAATCCCAGACCTGCATCCAGCTTAGCTGTAGAACTCTGGTATCAGCTTTCAGATGATGTTAACAGAGACCTGAGATAAGTCAACTTTGTTTTGCACCCAACTTCACTTCATGGTCAGCTGGTGCGTTGTTTCTGAGTCTGTGGCAAGGGAGAGCCTCATGACAGGAGCTGCAGCATGTAGGAAGTCGCTCGCCTCACAGAGACCAGGAAACAGAGACAGGAAGGCGTGCCCCCTTGACCTTCCTTCCTTCTGATATCCCACCTCCTAAAGGTTCTACCACCTCCTAAAAGTACCACTGGCTGGGGACATTCAAGATCCAACCTATGAAAAAAAAAAAAAGATCCAACCTATGGCAACAGACACGGATTTTTTTTTTAATATATTTTTTATTTTCAAGGGGTCTCACAATATTGCTGAGGCTGGCCTCAAACTTGCCATCCTCCTGAGTAGCTGAGATTACAGGTATGGGCCACTGTGCTTGGCTCAGACATGGATCTTTTTATTTAAACCACTCTAGGCCTCAGGTTTTTCAGTGCTAAAGTGGAGCTGGAATTAGATCCCTCAATATATTATAAGGATCCAATGAGCTAATATGTCACTAAATTAATGTTCTCAAGGAGGTGTGGTCCTGCCACTGAGGAGAACTATGGCAGTGTCTGTTGCCTCTCAGGCTGAAGGCTGATACTGGTATTTAGAGAGCAAAGCCAGGACTGCTAGGCATCTGCCATGCTCAAGACAGCCCCCCCAACTAACATCCATCTCCTCCAAACATCAGCGCTACTGCTATTGAAAAACTATGGACTGACCCCTGTAAAGTTGCTTTTTTTTTTTTTTTTTTTTTTTAGTCAAAACAATAAAATACTGTCATAGGATTCAACCTAATACATGTAACATTTGATAAATGTTAGCTTCTATTGGAAAATTTGGCTTCCCTTTCCTAAAGGTTTACAAATAACTTTCCCTAAAATCATAAATCATTTTCCTCCCTTCCTTTCAGCCTCTCCTTCCTTTTCTGAGCAACTGAAAGAGGCTCATGTTAGATTGTACCCATCTAGTCGCTGCACATCACAACATTTGTTTAATAAAACCGTCACCAACAACATGCTGTGTGCGGGAGACACACGAAGTGGAGGAAACCAAGCAAACCTGCATGATGCTTGCCAGGTAAACAAGAGTGTCCCTCTGTGCTCTGGACGAGGATAAAAATGTTCCTTGGCCAACTGGCCCTTAACCAAGGAAAAACATTAGAGCCAGAATAGAGAGGTTTCATCTTGGTGAGGCCCTAGGAATTCTCAGAGAAGATAGATCAAAGCAACCTAAATTTAAGAAATCTAAATGGCAGGAAATTTCCCCAGTGTCTGAACAGGAAACTCCACCTGGTACAGGATTTCCTGCCAGCCCAGGAGAGTCATCAACTATTGAAGTGATGGGTAAAGCAATGTAATTAAGAAATTCTTGACTTCTGCAGGTGCTAAAGAATTGGGGTCTACTTTGTAGGACAAGCAGGAGCGGCAACTTACTGGAAAGCTGGACATAGTTGAGTGTGAGGAGTGTGAGTTTTAAAAGCTCACATTCAGCCCTAGCACCTTGTAAAGCAAAGCATTTTAGGTTCTCTGTTGGTATCCTTATCAGAGTTACTGCTTATATTTCATGATTAACAAGATACTAGGGCACAGGGACCAGATCAACCTGCTGGCATTAAGACCTATATATATCAGCAAGGAATTCCTCTTGCTCAGACATCTCAATATCTCTAGCACCTGGCTCTCTGTTAGGGCTGAGGGCCAGCAAGGATGCTAAGAGAAGCCCTGGCACTGGAGACCTTGTGGACTTTGTCTGCCTGAGGTGATCATATGGGCAACCTCCCCCCTGGGCCTCCTAACAGTACTGGATCTCTTTTCATATGGTTTCTTAAGAAATTTCAACTGTGCCACCTAGTCACAGTGAAAAGAAGATTGCACACAAAGTGGAACCTTGATCTTTCCAAGTACTTAAGTTTAAAAACAAAAAATCATTTTTATTCAATTACTAGAGTTTCTAAGCTTTTTGTACATCTTCCCAACCAATTTCCTTAACAACCTCATGAGGTAGTGTTATCTCTATTTTAGCACAGTGAGCCAGAGGCCACACTGCTGGTAAGCAGTGTAGTTCAAACCAGTGTGTTTTGTTTTTGAGACAGGATCTCATTAGATAGGCTAGGTGGGCCTCAAACTTGTGATCCTCCTGCTTCCACCTCCCAAGTACTAAGATCACAGGTGTGCGCCACCACACCAAGCTCAAACCAGGGTTTTCTTAAGGCCAAAAATGTCTGAGCAATTATTTCTCTTCAGTTATCTCACTTCTACTTTACCAGAGAAGATACAGTCGAATCCTCTAGAGGTTCAAGATGATTGAGACAAAATTTTTCCTCTCTGAATTAAGTACTTGGAAGAATAAAATCTTAGCACTACATGAATAATCCTAATATTTCCTTCAATACTCTGCCCTGTTTTCAAACAACTGACCTGTTCTCTCTTTGCAGGGTGACTCGGGAGGCCCCCTGGTATGTGAGAAGGATAAGCACATGATTTTGGTTGGCATCATCAGTTGGGGCCTTGGCTGTGGGCAGAAGGATGTTCCAGGGATATATACCAAGGTCACTAATTACCTAGACTGGATTCAAGACAATATGCGACCATGACCAAGAAAACCCAGTTCCTTGAAACCCCAGGAGATTCAGCCTTCCTCCTCCAGAAAACACTCTGCAAGGACCAAGTGCATCCTCATGAAGACTTATAAACAAACCACCACACAGTAGGAGGGGATAGGAATGATGAAGTGTATATCTTTAATAGGTACTTGACATTTTGGAAATTTTCAGGGATGAAGATCTGATTTTAGAATATATTCTGTAAGATAAGAAGACAGATAAAAATAAATGCCAACCCCTTCCAAAATGCCACCATCTAGAACAAAGAGGTTAACAAAGTCCCCTTCTCTTAATCAGTGGTGAAAAGCTTTGGAAATGGCACCACAAAGATGAAAGTATGCCTCAACAGGAGAAAATATCAGACCCTTCAGGAAGGAAGGGCTGCATTAGAATAGAGCATGCACTCCTAGTCACAGAAAGCCCTGACAGACCTCCAAGAGCTGGACTGGTTGGCCAGACCCTGTTCCCCAAACTCCTGGAAATCAAGTATTCTATCCTGCTTTCCCTCCACCATTCTTGGGAGGTGTTGCTTTTGTGTACAGTGTAAATCTTTGTTCTTTATAAACTTTATGATTGAGTGGGAGAATTGTATTATTTTCATAATTGATGAACTAGATTTTAGCATATTTATATCGATTTATTTTAGTTTTTACTTTGTTACTATAACTTTGTATAATACTGTACTTAAATAATAAATTCAGATGTATTTTCACATTTTTCTCCAGTCAGAAAATGGAACATTTGGTAACATATGTAGCATCTCATAGCTTGCTTATTCATGTTATTCATGTTCATATTCTTGAATCATTCAAAGTGTTGCGGGAGGTTGCTAGCTGAGATACGCGACTCCAGGCTGTTAGCAGGAAGCAACGTTTTATTGAGCCAGCACGGACTCAGCGGACCCATGTCCAAAGGCTGAGCCCCGAGAACAAAGGGGTCTCACCTTATATACCCTTGCAAGCAGGCTACAGAAGCAAAGAGCAAGGTCTAATCCATATATGGTTATATTAAATTTTATTGGCTACTTTACCCTAGTGCTATGTGACTTTCCCCTCCCTGGTGCTACGTGACCTTCCTCATGTTCAGATTCCTCAGGTTTTTATCTCTGCTATGCCATCCCTACCTCCCTGCTACTTTCTCAGGACTCAGGCCTAATCTATTTTCTTCTGATCCTGCTACATTATTTCTTCCTTTGAGGCTTGGACCCACTTAGGGTCAAAGAGCATCATCTTTATTTAGGGGTTTGTATTTTTATAGCATTATTACATGAGTGGCCATTTTTTTATAACAGGCTTTATAATAGTCTTGATAAACCACAGCACCAGGAGAACCAGGCAGGGCAATATTAAGCATGTTTTTAGAATTAGGCCCATTGGCCCTATCAGGGTTTTGAATCCACCTAAAGCAGAAAACCATCCTCCAAACAGGTCATTGGGATCCCATCCTCTCCAAGTCTGGACTGGGACTTGGGCAAGCTTTCTCATTCTGTCTGTGATCTCTTTTATAACCTTCTTTTTTTTTTTTTATCATTCATCTGTAAGCAGCAGTTGTTTAGGTTAAATTTTTTACAAACTTCTTTCTCAGAAGCAAGCAAATAGTCTAAAGCCAAGCGGTTTTGATAGCTCGCATTGTGCATCTTAGTGCTTTGTTTTGTCAGCAAATTGAGGATAAATTGAATAACCTCTTTTAGTTTTCTTAGTTATAATTTTAACAACAGCCTGCAGCCCGATGATGCGGTTGAGCATATACATAGGGGTGCGATAGCCCTAGGTCCATCTTTTGCCCAGGTGACAGGACCATAGTACTGGATGATTTACTCAGGAGGCCATTTGTCATCTTTTTCCCAAGCCCAATGGTCTCCCATGTTGTCCCTCCACAAACATAGCATGAAGTGACATTCAGTGTCTGGGCTATAGACTCAGCCTGTGAGAGGAACAAGGTTTTAGCTTTGGCAGAGATGGAAAATTCACTCCTCATCTCCTCAAAAAAGGAGTGAAAAACTTGGTATGAGGAACTCATGGGTAATGGTTACTAATTTGAGGTGTATCAGACTCTCAGGGTTAAGATGCTTTTTATCTATTTTTATATTAATTACTTTTTTTCATGTTTAATTAGATGGCTTAAGTACAGTGAAATTTACAGGGTTACAGGTGCCACAGGTGCAGTTAGGGGCAGCTCTCCCCTTGTGAAGGAGGGCTGTGTATTTTGTCCTATGTTAAACCAGATCGGTAACAATAAATAGTAATTATGCATCCTGCTCAAAAGAGAGAGAAAAGGGCAAATAAAAACCTTTTACCGTGAGATCAATTAGTGGCAGTGGTTTCTGCCAAGCCTGTGGTAAAGACTAGGGTGAGAACAACAGCAACAGATACAGACAGAGGTGACAATGCATTTCAGTGAAATAACTGGTGTGAAAAACATAGCCCGTTTGTCCTGTTGGAGAGTTGACACCTCAAGCTTTTGCTAGACTAGTCAGCTTCCAGGATAACTAGAGCAGGGCTGTCATCCCGCCCTTCTTGATCCCCTGCTGTTTCCTGGGAAATGAAGTCCTGTCAGGGGAGGGTGCTCAGGTTCCAGAGGGAGAACCTACATGGTGAAGCCGGATCAGGGATGCACTCCCACTCGAGAGAAGCTGGCTTGACTGGACTGTGGTGGATCCAAGGAGCAATCTCTGCTACTTTAACTGCAGTGGGGATAGACAAGATAACAACCAAAGGGCCCCTCCAATGGGGTTTTAATGATTGGAAATTTTAGGGTTTTGTTTTTGTTTTGTTTTGTTTTTTGAGTAGAATTACCTTGGCAACAATATATTGTTAGTATATATGTCCAAGAAAACTTGTTTAGAAAAGTTAAAACCACCATCTTTAAGTGTTAAAGGACATATTTAGACCCAGTAAAAATATCTTGTCTTGTCTCTATTTTAGTAGAAGACCCTATCTAAAAATATGAGTTTGTGTCTGGGAGGGCTTTAATGCCAGATAGCCACACATGCATAAGAACAATTTCTTTAATCCTCTCGGCCTTGGTTATTTTGAGAGGTCTGGCACCAGTGACTCCATTTGAACTTTTATGGCATTCCCCCTTTGTCTCCAAACTGTTTGTCTCTGAGAAGTCTCTTTTGAAGATCTGTCTCCCATCCAAGTACTTACCAGGCCCGACCCTGCTTAGCTTCCAAGACCAGAAGAGATAGGGCGTGTTCAGGGTGGTAAGGCCATAGACTGAAGATCTTTCTTGATTGGTTGCTCTTTCCTGGATTTTGTTCGTGTGGTTGGTTTTGGTCCCACATGAGGGGGGAAATAAGGAACAGATTAGGCAGGAGTCAGTGCCAACTACACCCTTTTGGCAAATTTAAGCAACAAAGAGGCTTAGAAGGAGGGGTTCTTAGGCAGTGGGCTTCTAGACAAGGACAATACAAAACAAAATCTAACAAAAATAGATGTTTAAAAACCTAACCTGGTTGACACATAAGTAGTTATTAGAGTCATTTTTTTATGGACTTGATTGTAAATGTCCCAGAAGGATCAGAACTGTAAGAGCCATGGTTAAAATTGTGATGGACAATTTAGCAACTAACAGAACAGTATATCAGTACGACTAACTTTTTGTTACTGTGTTCATCTAAATTTTGTATTTTAGAAGGCTTGATATACTTGAAAAACATAAATATATTTAATATATAGGAACCAGCAGCAGGATCACAATTCTATAGAGGTTATACATACTATCAGTTTAGTTGTTGCTCTTGAAGTAAAACCTTAGATTTTTATCAATTGTCGGGGGAAAGACCAGTTTTAGTAAACCCAAATAGCCCAGTCACAGACACATACAGGGTACCAGCTATATTAGAATCACCCATGACAACAGTTGTTTAACCATGAGGTCATCTAGAAAGTTTTATATAAACTATTAGAAAATAAAAGACATGGAAGAGGCAGAGAGATGGCTCAAACACCAGTTCAGGGTTTATTGTTTAGGCAGGAGTCCTGTGGAGGAGACCCCAGCAAGAGAGCTAGAGCCCACTGCCATACACAGGCTTGGGCTAGATGTAGGGGGATAGTGGAAAAGCACCAGGAAGGGTCACTAAGGGATATTGTTGCTAGGCAACCAAGAAAGATAAGTTGTAGTTAGGTCACTGTCTGCCCAACTGTCCTTGGCATCTATCCAGGGAGATAAAGGTAAGACATCTGCAAGGGGAAGGGGTCTGGTCCTAACATGGTTGTCCTTATTGTTAACCCCGACATAAACCAACTCTTAAATGAACATGACTCAGTTACGTTAGTAGTCAAAACCCCAACAAAAATCATCAGAGAACACAGGTAAATATTTATAGGGACTAAGTGTGGAGTTAGGAAACATAGTGGCCAAGAATCATGGCTCAGATGTTGATAAGGGATCACATCCCAGATTGTTTACATTAACACATGGCTCATGACATACAGCAGGATCCCACCAACCTATAGTCAATGGAGCCCCCCTAGAATAACAGGCCCAATCTGGTCATCCCAGGGCAAAAATTCCCTCCACCTGCCATGTAGAAGGATTAGGACTAACACCTTTACTCTGTTAAGTCAAATAAAAACTGGATGTCTTGACTTCCAGTGTAGTGCTCCTTTCTGAGTTTGGGTTTTTTTTTTTTTTTTTTTTAATCCTATCTGGAGGGTGCACTTTGGCTTTACATAAGTAAATTTGTCATAACCCTCATATCAGTGCAGCAGTAATCCCTGTGCTCAGCTGCTCTCTGTTTTAATAAACTCGTCTTGACAAATTAACAGGGTTAACCTGTTGAACCAAAAATTCCTGACAGTTATCTTGACAAAACAAAAACCATTTTAAGACAATTTTTTGTAAATGTTATCAAGAGCAATACAATATTTTAAAGATAGCCTTGAGAACTGTTGTGAGCCTAGAGAATTAAGTCTTAGTTTAACATCAGTACATTAAATTTTGACCTTACAAAATCTTTAATGTAACTCTTAGATTTTAGTCAACTTAATTACCTACATAAGCATCTATAAGCTGCACCTTCTTATGACAACTTACTATGTACCTTTATGACAACTTATTTTGTATCCCTTGGGGGAGCTTGTCTTTATCCTTTTTTTTTTAAGTATTTTTTTATCCTTTTATTTAAAAAAATCATATCCTTAATAGCATGTTACTTGTTGAAATTAATTTATAAAACCTTTTAACTTAGAACCTTATATTTGTATGGGAAAAAAACCAAAGAAAGCAACCCTAAAAATTTTTTGCATAAAAAACAATTTATAGAAAGCCCATTTATTAATAGACCCCTGTATTATAAGGGAGAATTAAATTCCAGATTGTAATTATGGCAGAATGAAACATGCAAAGGTCATTTCTTTAATTACTCAAACTCCAAGATTCCTGCTGCAGGCTGTGGCTCCCCTCCCCCCTTTTTTTCCTCTCCTTTGGTCTGAGCTGGAGTGTTAACCCCTGTATGCCTGTATCTTAGTGAGACCTGATTGAAATGTTTGAAAACCTGTTTTTCTTAAAAAGTAGCAATAGAACAGAGTAATAATTTTCACATTGACTCTATAATAAGAACTGTTCTCAAG